TTGGGGTTGTAGGTGGGGGGGGGGGGGGGGGGGGGGGGGGGGGTTAGGGGTGGGTGCATTAAAAGAATTCTATCATAACAATGCTTATGTATTGATACCACCTAAATATCAAGTTCATAAATTACGTGTCTGTGTAGTCTTTATAATCTTAAATCACAACTTACATTATGTTTATGCTTATTATGCCACTTATAATGAGTATGAGATGCTCATACATGCCTGGTCTGAGTTTTATCGCGTGCACAAAAGTGGAGAAAAGGTGGAATTCCCTTTTAAAATAATGCACAACAAACCTGAGATATCTTTCCAGTTTGAGCCTTCAGTGTTAAACAAAATGTTCTTCAACAGGAAAGCCTGAGAAATAACAAACAAAACATACAAATCATTAGGACTCCACCTAACCAGGCAAAAGGAACAATCTGACAACAAAGCACATCTCAGTATGTGTATATATCAGTTCAGATAGCAACCGTTTCTGTGTTACAGAAACAGAGTAAGACATCCTCAGAAATCACAGATCAAGCAGCATTTGTGATAGATATGGAATGTCAGTGCAAGACTAATGGCTGGAATACAAAAAATGACTTAAAATCTGAACAGATTTTAAAACAGCAGGTATCATACACTTGCCAACTTTGTAAGTGGTTACAAAGAACACTAAGCAACTGAGGATCACACACTAGCAGGTATTTTCTCTACACAAACTCACGCAGAAATATGCTAGGAGATGCATGACAAATGAAAACAATATGTTCTAAAATCGGGTCAAAATATTAAAAACATTTGATGTCCTCCCAACTAGACTGAATCCTTAGTCTGACAGGGAAAATAAAATCAGAATCTGTGCCCATCAGACAATATAAGATTTATGAAATTGATCAACTCCGACCGCTCAGAATCTGCAGACTGATATAAATTATAAATCTTATATCTGCAGACAGGTGACCAAGGCCAAAATCGAAATCGGAACTGTTTTTCGATTAATTGCACAGCCCTTGTGGAGGATGCCAAGACGTTGGTCAAAAATCTTCCATAGGTGTACACAAAGGATGAGAACGATAAAGAATATTTAAAAATTGTTCTAAATGTAAAAAAATTGTAGAGTCCACACCACAATGATAACGATAATGGCACAGAACAACAGTATTGTTGGAATCCCTTTCCCAATGAGTTTTTTTTTCTAGCTGATAAATACAGTGGCCGAGAGAGCTCAACGTGCTGCAACTTCAGAAAACACATGCAAATAGAAAAAGCACCAGCAAATCAAGAAAACATCTTCATCAGTTTGACAGCAGGTGCTGCAAATGCTCACAACACAAACAAATACAGAAATACTGTTGTGAGCATTTGCAGCGTGTGTGTTGTCAAATTGATGAAGTTGTTTTCTTAATTTGCAGGTGTTTTTTTTTTTTTTTTTTGCAGCGCGTTTCTTTATTTGGTTGTACTGTGAGCATTTGCAGCATGTGTGTTGTCAAATTGATGAAGTCGTTTTCTAAAATTGCAGGTGCTTTTTCTATTTGCAGCGCGTTGAGCTCTCTCGGCCACCATAGATGAATGATAAAAAAAACTTCCAACATTTAAAAGCTAGTTTGCACTTATAATAAATAATATTATCATGCTTTGGCCTGGACGCTGATATAGTTATTGTTCTTGATGAACGTGTCTTTACAATGGCATTCACTGTAGAAAAGTCCTACATCACAAGTGTGTGATGTATACACACTTAAATACACAGCAGGGCTCGCAAAATTTCTAAATCCCTGGTAGCCCTACGGGCAGGTACTCTTCAGATTTTGGTAGCCCGAAAATGTATTTAACTAGGCCCCCCCCCAAAAAAGAACAATGTTCCCTTCAGATACATTCAAATAAAGACATCCACGCCGCGTTTTGACTTGAAACGTGCAGCGCTCATATTTATTCAATGACATCATTACCTTTTGAAGTTTAATCCAGCCGTATGGCGACTCTTGTCTTTCCATCCCCAACTGTAAGACCTCTTGATATTATAATTAAAACATTTCTTATACCATTTAACGCATTTAAAACTTTTTTTGTGGCCTTAAGTTTGATACAACTCACTTTATGAGTTTTTAAGGACCCCCGGGAGATCTGTATTAAAGGTAGCCCGTCGGGCAGAGTGGTGATACATTTTGGTAGTCGACTGGAAAACACAATAGCCCCGGGACGTCGGGCTAGCGACTTTGCGAGCCCTGCACTGTACTTCTGTCCCTCACAGCCTCGTTTTCACTGCTGTCAAAAAATTACCCATCAAACCAATCAGTGACCCCATGTGCCCCAAGGATGGGACCATTGTCAATCCTGAAAAGTCCCATCAGGATGGGATAAAGGTAATTACTTAGAAAAATTATGCCGGCATGGTTCTGGTTTCTCTGGATTTACCTTTAATTTTGTCACCAACCTTTATATTACATCACTGCAGTGCAGCTTTTATATTGTGGACTTTACAAAGGTGTGGATGTACGCATACTTCATTACTGACTAAGCATCATAACTCATGATGCTTAGTCAGTAATGAAGTATGCGTAAATCCACGCCTTTGTAAAGTAACCTATGAACAGAAAAAATAAGGCAAATACCTGCACAGGTGCAATGACAGCACACGGTCCACCTTCAAACTGCTCCAGTGCAGAGCGTTCAGCCTCACTGTACAGAAAGCCTGTGGAAAGAAACAGTGAACACAAACCACACAGTCAATGTCACAAGTCTCAGCTTAGCAATTCATCACAATTTATAACTGGGCAAGCAGTCAGGCTAAAGTAACATGGTCTTGGCATTGGTCTTCTTTGCTGACCACTGCAGATTTTACAATACAAGTAATGGATGTATATCCTTTAAACAGAGTTTCAACCTTGAAAATCTGAGTCAGCATTCGTAAGACTACTTTTAGTACCTATAATTAAAGCATCAAAAACTATCAAGACCGCTTACCTTGTGACCACCTGCGGAAGAGGGATGCAGGCACTCCTCCGCCACCGGGTCTGCCCCACACCAGATCCACTACTTCTTTATAAGTATCTGACATTTCTGTTCTTGATTTTCGTCAATATTAACTCAAACCATGCATCGAGACCAATGGAGATCCTTGTGACAGCTAACCGCTGTAGTGCACGCGACGTAGCTGGCGAACTCGTCCTGGCCTGCTTTTGTATTCCTCTCAATCTTAAAGTTTTGGCTTGGGTGAGCAGGTGGCATTGGCCACAAATGCGCTACTGATGCGTAAACTGTCCCACAAGCGACGAGTGATAGAACGCTCGCGCCAAAAACGTTAAAGAACGTTACGTTAGCTTTTGAACACGCAGCCTGTAACAACAGCTCTATTAACCTACAGGTTCGCTTTGTGTCTGAAATTAATGCTATCTTACGTCTTATGTTGTATTCAGTTCCTTAATTCGAGGTTTCTGTTCTGTTTAACTGGACAGGCCTGGTATGTCATCACTGAAGTAATAAACTCACTCACCATACGGTCTGTGGCTTGTTGCGTTATTAAACGTCCAAAACAAACGTTTAGCTCGTTCCTCCGACAGCCCGTTTTAAGTTAAGTTAGTCAACGACTGTCAACTCCGCTCGACAACACCCAGAGAAAATACGGAGAAATTCAATGAAAAATGCTCGCTGAGGTAACTGCAGAGTGCTCTATGATCCATTCAGTTTGTTTACTACGTGCCTCCTCCACCTCAAGTTCGACTTTGTGAGAGATTGGTTCAAATCGAGAAGGTTCTGGTGACGTCGAGCGAGGGAGAGGTCTGATTGGTTATTCTGCCCATCAATCATACGGCAACGTCTTGTGTTGTGCCCGCCTACAATACGGAGGTTGAGCTTGAATATACAGAAAGCTTGGCTAAGCAATGTTATATAAATAAAGAGATTAGGCAGCCATCAATTCTTAAAATACCAACTGTGAAGCAGGCGCACCCACAGAGGTTATAGTGATGTATTGCCGATAATGTAACCTAAAAGTGTACAGTGAATAGATGGTCAGAAAATAATGGATATATTACCACCTAAACATTGTAAATAGATGAACACTGCATATTTGCACTGCATAATGCAAGGTAACTTCGGGTAACGAGGCAATTTTGTGAGCACATGATATGTATAAATTGGCAATGAAATGGTTAATAATGAAAAATGACTGAATAAACTTCATTTTAAAAACGTATATAATTCATTAGACAACATTTTTTTGCAGTTTTTATTTATTTACATTTTAGCATGTATAGTCACTTATTTTCACTACAAATATTTCAATGAATAAAATAAACTGTATTTAATGAAATCCTTTCCATTGTTTGTACAATGATGCATTCAAGCAACATATCTTGCACTGAGAAATGCAATGAGAAGAGAAGCAGTTATATGCGTTTCAACCTGTTTTTATACAGTCTATGGTTTCAACCAGGTTTCAATGACAGACGCTCCAAAAAAAACAAAAAAAACAAAAACAAAAAAAAAGCTTAGAGACTTTTATTTTGTTAAAGATGTGACTTAACAGGAAGTCAATATATTTGATTCACGTTGTAGCCCATGCGTGCTTTCACGTTGGCAAGTGAACGCACCTCTAGTGGAGAAGTATTTTCCCCTTTATAAAAAGTGACATAAATTCACAGATTTTATCTAACAACAATGGGCGGACAAGCAAAATTTAAAAAGAAAAACAAAGCTAAGAGAAAAGACACTAAACCAACTGGAGGTATGTCAGTTTTAAGAATCTATAGTGTTAAACGGTCTGGTCATATTGCTTTTATTTCACGAAAATAATGACTTTAAAACACGTTTTTAAAAATGCCACATTAATTAAAACTGTTTCTTGCTATAGACTGCACACTAGTATTCACCAGTGTTTGCTTTGACAGTAACGGTTTCATGTAAACATGCCATTTAATATCCATGTGATCTGATTAATGCTATGTAGAGTTTATTGAAGAAGGCTTGTCAAACTTGTCATAGCTGTGCTTAACCTAGACCTATTCACATTTAACAGATTTTGCAGTTGAATCCTTTGCAGGAAGGTTTGCTTATGTGAGTGGTTTGTGAAAATCTGTTCTTGATGTCCAGGTGCCTTGATGTCACCACAGGAGAGAATGAAAGCCAAGATGCAGGAAAGAGCCAAAAAGAAAACAGCTGGAAAATACACAACTGATCAACTAATTGAAAAGGTAATATATTTCCTATAATGACCTCTTAAAGACATGAAATATTAGAGCTTGTTTTCAGACTGTACTACTGTACCTCTCTTTCCTTCTCAGACTGAAGAGTGTATAGACAACTTTGACTTTGACATGGCCAGGCTGTACTGTCAGCGAGCACTGGATATTGAACCCACTAACCTGACCCTCCTGGACATGATGGGGAACATCTGCACTGAGCTGGGAGATATAGAGAAAGCTAAACAGATATCCTTTACACTTACTACCACAGTACATAGAATCACTTGAATATGTTTATCCTGTACTATCCTCGTGAAGCCTCTAGTCTTGTTTTTCCTTTTCTTGAAAAGTGTATGATTGTATTTGAGTGTTACGGTCCTTAACAGTGGTATACGTGTATCTGAAGGCTGTGGAGCTCAGTCCAGAGGAGGGCCACAGTAAGTACATGTACCTGGGGCAGATTCACACAGGCATAGAGGCTGTACAATACTTCAGTAAAGGAACTGAGGTCATGCTCAACGTTATGGACAAACACACCAATGAGGCAAGGCACTGCTGATGCACAGTTCAAGCATTTTACATAGATTTTTAGTACACTTGATTATTTCATTTACACATTTGCATACACTACCATTCAAATGTTTGGGATTTGGGATTTTTTAAAAGTAATTTGTTCAAAAAAAAAAACAAATTCTGTCAAATAAATTATGTTCCTTTTGAACTTTCTATTCTTTAAAGAATACTGAAAAATATTTATCATGGTTTTCACAAAACTATTAAGCAGTACAATTGTTTTCAACAGTGATAATAATAAGAAATGTCATATTAGGATGATTTCTGTAGAATCATGTGATAGAAGACTGAAGTAATGGCTCTTGAAAATTCAGCTTTGCCATCAAAGGAATATTTTACATTTTTAAAATAGAAAATAGTTATTTTAAAGTGTAAATATATGTTGCAAAATTAATGTTGTACTGTATTTTTGATTAAATTAATAGCAGCTTTGTTCAACATGAGAGACTTCTATCAAATCCCGTTTAAAAAAATCTTACCAACCGCAAAGGTTATTGACTAATTTGCAAATCCAGGTAAAATGTAACTGAGACCAGAGATATTTTCACATAGTAAAGTTAAATCCAGGGTTATATGTAGGTAAATAAATATTCTGAGATTTCCATTTATACAAGTGCTTGTTTCAGTAACATTAGTTTTGTCTATTGGTTTTTAAAAAATAATTCCAAACCCTCTGAAATTAGATTATCTTAAATTTAAGTCTAAATGGCCTTATTGGGGAATGTTGTCACTGAAGGTTTATTTATTTATTTCAAACCCCCCCCCCAAAAATTCAGAATGCTGCCTGTACAGAAACTGATGAAGAATGAACTTACTCGGATTAATCTGTGTGACAACTAGCCCCAGTCTACACTTTGCTGTGGAATTTGCGATGACCTACAGTAAAGCAGGTAGCTAATCAGTGTTGCCAAGTCTGCGGTTTTTCCGTGGAATTGGGCTACCTTGACACTGTTGTCGTGGCTTGTTTTTCATGTCCGCGGGTTGAAGTAACCCCAATAACGTGATATTTAGCCCCTGAAATGGGAATTTTACCGGGGAGCCCCCTCGAAACGCAATTGGGCTAGTTTCAGTAGCATTTGATCGGGTTTTGTTGCGAAAACCTGATACAGTAGTAGCAGGTTAACACAGTAAAATATGATGTGATTGTAGTATGTGTTTTAAAGTTCGACAGAACCCTGAAAATGAGAGAGACTATCTGAGACCAGATGTAAACAGAATTTCACTCCCTAAGATACAAAGGAATTGTCATTTTGTTTAGAACCCTGAGAGCTTTGGCTAATGAATAATGGATGTATTCCATCATTGTGGTGCATTTTCCCAGTGGACAGCACTTTCTTTGCATCGATTACTAAGTTAGCTGCTGAATCAGAGCAATGCTTTCTGGAAGGCACAGAATTAGCACTGACATAATAGCAGGAGGCAGTTAGTTATGCTGAGCTGGTCTCATAGTATGCCTGTGTGCGCTGCTTGCGTCTGTCTACACAGGGCAGGTAAATTGAAAAAACAGAAAGATAGATGTGTCTTGTTCCTGTAGGTAGATAGTTATTGAAAACCAGCTGGTCACAGACATTGTTTTACATCAAGGCAAACTGTAATCAATTGCAATGACCACACAGGCCTTGCATACATTACTGAGTATTGAATTCCGATGCTATGAATAATGCTCTGAGCATTGTGGCAGCATAAAAGGTACATCCTCAGTGGTCTAAATGACTTGTCTTGAGGGATAGTTGTATTAGTTTGAGCAAAGAGGAGTCGGCTGTAGGATTTATTTAGTGATAAATATGCAGTTGAATCTTTCAGCACTAGAGGGCAATAAAACATAAGCAGAAAATAAAGTCCTAAAGAGCAGTGGCCCTCAAACTTTTTGTCTTGAAGGGCTACCATTGTATTGTATAACACAGTATTCAAAGACCCACCAGTTTTCATTTTTAGCTTTTTTCTCTTTCATTTGAATTGGTTTTATTTATTTTTTTATTAACAGAAACTAGGAATGTTTACTTATAAATTAACCACAATTTATTAAAAAAGAAAAAAAAAATAATCAGGAACTGAATGCTGAAAAAACATCAACAATTAAAAAAAATATTTAAATTAATATTTTATATTTATCATTTAAATTGAGTTATATTATTTTAATATATTATAATATTAATACTGTTAATAACAATATATTCATCTAAATAATTATGCAACCCTGAGGTCCCTGGAGAATCACTGCTGACAATTTGCATGTATCATAACAAACTGTGAATATTTACTAAACATCTTGAATGTGTGTTAAAAATATTATTGTAATAAATTAATTTAAAAATTAAAAACAATATTATAAGATTGATAAAATATTATGTTATTATAAATATTATAATTCAGCATAAATAATTATAAAACTGTTGTGCTATGTGTGCTCTGAAAGGTTAAAAAACATAAAATAAATAAAAGATAAAAGTCTTCTGAAGCCATAAGAACAGGTGGCGTATTTATTTTGAGAGTCTCGGTGGAGCAGTGAATAATGGCTTAAATTTGGTCTGTTCATTACTCACAGCTATCATGTAGGAATATAGTGCATAATATCTATGGTGATTTTTGTCCTTTTTTGGAATTTGAGAGCCACTAGGATGAACAATTCATATTTAAATTCCACTTAAAAAAATAACATTAGACAGGTTTGGAATAACATAAGGTGAGTCAACAATGACAGGGTGAATTATCATTATTATTATTTTATTTCATTGTCACATGTGGTTCTGTGAAGATAAAAGTCTTCTGAAGCCATAAGAACAGGTGGCGTATTTATTTTGAGAGTCTCGGTGGAGCAGTGAATAATGGCTTAAATTTGGTCTGTTCATTACTCACAGCTATCATGTAGGAATATAGTGCATTATATCTATGGTGATTTTTGTCCTTTTTGGAATTTGAGAGCCACTAGGATGAACAATTCATTTTTAAATTC